ATTGGGTGGTGGCTTTTAAAATGGTGCAAAAGCGTAGGGGGGGTATAGGGTGTGGGCTAAGTTTGAACTCGGAAATGACCCTTCCTAGCCAGCAACCCGAAAAGGTAGTTGCAACGTGGGGAGGCACACATCAACAGAAGCAGCCACGCCGTCTGAAGGTCTGGTTGATCTGAGACTTTGTCCAGCAAACGTCCGTGCTTGAGTGCGTTATTCCTGAGGGCATCCCTTTGAAAAGCCTAGCTCCCAAAGGAGTGCCGAGAACGAGGAAGCCCTGCTGCTCAGGCGGCAAGGAGTGGTCACCGACCCATACGAGCGCCTCCCCCGGCGCAGTGGGAAGCACGTCAGCAAGGCCAGTCGGTTCCTCGGCCTGTCGAGTTCCAAATACTGGTCTTGCCCAGATGCACGTCGATGATAGCGTGACGCTTGAGCTCCGTGCGCAAGGTTACAAACGCGGCACATGCACGACACTTACGTGTCACCCAAGAATGCATACAGTCAGCACGTGGCCCAAGCTCGGCGTGCGCCTGGGCTACCTCGTGTGCCCGTCCGAGGTGGTCGTAGAAAAGGTACGTGCTTACACGGCCATAGAATTGACGGACAAACGGTATCAACGAAGCCAAGCGAGCATCCCGGCGGAGGCTTTCGAACATTGCCGCCCGGGCGATGTGATCGTAGGCACCAACTCTGTCAACGCTGACGACCGTCTTACTCGGACTCAGTTCGGAAGACACCGCGAGGGCGCGTGCGAGCTCCTCTATCCCAGCGCGCGTGGAGAACACGTACTGGAACCGGCTACAGGCCCGGGATCCTTTCCCCGCATCTTGCTCGTGATAGCTACACGTTTTGCAAGTCGCCGAACGGGACCGGGGGAACTTTCGAGAACTGCAATGGGAAAATGGTGGGGCCTTGTCATCCTTGCAGCAGCGCAGGCCATGTCACCTACGCGGCTTGGCCTTGAAGGCGAATGATGAGGCTGCAGTCCCCGTGCTGCTTGGTTTGGTTGTGTTGGTGCTTGATGTGTGCCCTGACGACGGTCAATGGTGACGCCGAAACCAACAAGAAGCCTGAGGTGACTCAGAGAGGTCTTGCGCTGTTGTTGGTTTGAGCTTTGCCTGGCACCAGGCCGAAGCGTCCTCAGATCAGGCCGTGAAAGCTTGTCAGATCTTGTCAATTCCGTTTTCTTGTACTTGTTATATTGTTGTTTGTCCTAGCAGGCCAAAGCAGCCTCAAATCAGGCCGTTCGCGAATGCTTGCTGAGTGAGACCTGCGGTGCATGAAAATTTTGTTCTGCCGTTGGACCTGGCAGGACACGGACCAGCAGCTACTTGGTCTGGCTGTGAAGGGGCTGGCAGGAGCCCATGCGGAGGTGGATAGTGCCAGAACGGAGTTGGAAAGTGCGAGAGAGTCAGCGGACGTTCGAACTTTCGGGACCTTTCAGTGTTTTTCCCCCACACCTTTTTTCGACCGCAGATTGTGGATCCGCAGCCACTTACCGATGGAGTCTCGCCCGCGCAAGAAAAGCCGGAGCAATTGACGGGTGCGTCGCGGCCGACATGGCGGCCCAGCGAGCCGCGCCACGAAGGTGGCTGTCGGCGGCAACACTTGCAAGAGGTAGTTGGCCCGAAAGTGCTTGCAGTACCTGGCGGCCTGCCAATCTTCAGCCGCACGGATGTGTGCTAGGCTGTCGTGCTCGGCCCGCTTGAGTTCCAGGTGCGGCTCCTCGCTTGCAGCGTTTGCAAGCAGCGTTGCCGCTTGCTGTTGAGCTGTGTTGTTTTTTGGCGCTTTCTTTCCGCGCCTGCATGGTGTGGCGTGTGAATTTATTCTACAAAAACATATTCGGAGTCTGGCGCGGACGTCTTCACAGAGTCTGGCCCTGCGACGACCTCCACAGCGCGACAGGCGCACCACATTCTAAGACCTCCGATTGGAACGTGGAGGGAGGTTCACATCGCAATGCGTAGCTCCGCCTTTGGAGTTCGTGTGGACCTCGCCGATGCGGCTTGGGCCCGTAGCTTCCAGTCCGGACTTGACAGCCGGGGAGTAAGAAATCGTGTCCAGCATTCAGCATGTCAACCATCGCCCACAAGAGTCAGCTTAGATCACGGAATTGCAGTCGCGGGTATGATATGATATGTGCATTCTTTTCTCACGAAGTTGCCAAGTTTCAGTGTTTTGTGCGACTAGATACATGATGGGTACACGTTTGAATCAGTTCACTGTTCTTCCGGTGTGCAGCACTTCTCTTTTGCGCCTGCATGGCTTCGATTCCTGTTGCTCGCTTGACGATTCGCAGAGCTTCCTACACCACCACTTCCCCAGCCAGGGGCCGCGAAGAGGCTGGCAGGTCGAGCGCGCGGTCCGATGGGTCCGACAGTGGAGCGGCGCCGGCCAAACTGAGCCGAGAGTGCTTGGTGCTTGTGACGGCCTCTGGCCCATGGTTCGCATGGCTGGCGGACACGGACACGGACGAGGATTGGCAGGAGAAACCTGCTGTCGTGCCTGCGAGGAGCACGCCGTGGTTCCGCGTCGTGACCCTCCGGCATGACGGACGAGCACCTCCACTTGCTCTTGGATGACGCGTGCGACCTTGCAATCCTGCACCGAGCAACAGTCTGATTTACCAACGCTGCCGCAGGTTGGTCGTCTTCGGGCCCGAAGTTAGTGGGCGGATGAAGGCGGTTGGTGTCGCGTTGCTGCGTCGCCTCGCCGCGGACAAGGCACTCACAGCGCCCGCATGCTTGCGGCCATCCACCCGCCGCGCCAGCGCTGTTGGACGCGGTTTTGCCGCGCTCTGGGCTCTGCGGAAGCCCCCGGCAGCCCCACTCAAAGTGGCACAAGTTTCGGCCCCGAACAGGGTTTTGCGTGCGCTTGGCATCGCGGTACGAGGGAATGCCTCGGCACAGCATTGCGGGATCCGACTCACGCAAGCAAGGCCGATCCAATTCGATATCCGTTCACGCAGTGGAATCTGGTACGTCATCACGAAGCTCTTCCAAGCCCGTGCCACCCTTTAACGAAATCAAGGCAATCGTCGAAGCGTTTTCCGGCATCGTGGCCAAACCCAACAAAAACAAACTAATGAAGCTTGCATTGAAAGCAGTTTGGCTGCCCAGCTGCATTGGTTTCGTGGATGCTGGCCCGACTGAAACCTGGGCCACTCCTCGAATCGATGCAGGGAGCGCTTCGTTCCCTCAGCGATTGAGGAGCATCTTCTCACCGCAAACAGGATGATTGATAAAGCCATGATGCCAATTGGCCAAAAGGCCATTGTGGCTAGTGAGTCGCGACTGTCCGAAGATCCGTTTGACCGTAATGGCCGGCGATGTGGCAAGCTCTGGCAAACCGTTGTGTTCCGCCACAAAGATCGTACAAACTTTGCGAAGCGTGTTTTTCCATGGAGGCAGCTTCAATAGGATGGAATGATGTTGGATGGACGGCACGCTGATGGACAGCAGAATGTGTGGTTGTCGTGAGTTTGATGGATGGCATGGACCGGGCTAGCAGGAGTCGTCGCGCCCTCCAAAATCGTGTGGTGCCATGACGATTCGTGCTCGGATTTGACGACCGTTTCGGCGGACACAGGCGGTCACGCAAACTGCACATGCGCTGCCATCACGATTCGTGCTCGGAATTGACAACCCACACCGCGTTCACCGCAAAGCACGACTCGCGACTACGCTTTTCGTGTTAACTCGGAATTGACAACACTCTCCGCTCGGCGTTCTCCGGAAAGCGCCGTTGATTTCTGCATGTGTGGTGCCTTTGCGATTCGCATCCGGAATCTAACAACGGCGCGAACACGACAGTGCGATTCATTCCAGTTTCCATACCTTGGCCACATGTTGGCACGACAACCCTTTCCGTGTTGCCGCTGCGATGAAAGGACAGCAAGAAACACACATGAGGCGCTCCTGTCACTAGAACGCAAACACGAAGACACAAAACGCGACGACGCGCTAGGGCCACAGTGCAAGAGAAACACGAGACATTCAAGGACGAAACGAAGAGGATTCAAGGACATAAGACGAACACAAGGACACGAGACACAAGAACAAGGAGTGGAAAGACACCACTACTACCAGGATTGGTCAATTCCAACCGGCCCTCAAGCCTTGAGCTTGAACCCGTCTGCAAAGTTTGCAGCAGAAGTTGGGAGCACACTCTTCATGAGGCTTTTTGACGGATGGAAACACGCGTCGGCTGCTAAAGTCTTATGCATTCTGCGTCTCTTGTGTCGCAGAAACGTGTGGAACAGATCTTGATGATCAGGTCTTCCCGCTGTGGAAACAAATCTTCTGCCACAGTCTGAAGCCTTTGTCGGTCGAACGGGGAAGCCCTGTCTAGCGCCGAATTACAGCACTCTCTGGAACGCCAATTCATGCAAACACGGTATCGTTGGAGCCTTGGCGCAGGCAGTCTCAAAGAAGACGAGTTCCTTCACAGCCCTGGGCACCCTGCTTGCAGCCTGGGAAAGCATCAAAACAGGTGTCTGCTCCTTAGCCGGCACATCTCCCATGCAAAGCCCATCAGACTTGAAAGAATCCGGGGCGGAGGCGACTCCTTGAAAATGCTCCTTTAGTCCCACAGTGATCGCTTCCATTGCCTCCCAAAGGCACAGGCGAGCAATTTCTGAGACCTTCTGAGTCAGCAGCAAGGGGGCAGTGTGCAGTGAGTGTGTGCTCTTCTGCCTGCTGCTGCTGGCCGACCTCAGCCAGGCCGGACATGGCCGGACTCTCGCCGCTCTCAGGCACAGGCCGCTATGAACGCAACGTCTGCCAATTGCACTGGGAATTTGCCGTTTTGGTGGCTCGCGCACATGCGATGACATCGAGCTCAGCGCTCTTGTGCTGCATTGCTCTCTTCTGACAGGCAGTTTAAAGAGACCTGGCTTCTGCCCTGTCTCTTCAAGACCCTGCAGAGGCAACGACTTCTGCACGCCCAAACAGATTATCATCTTTAGCTTTGGTGAAACAGGTCAGCACAGGTCCAAAGGTGCGAAAGAGCACTTCAGCACACCTATCGATTGTAGCAGCCGGTGCTGCAGCCACTGTACTTGCCTGATCAACGCAGAGCCCTGCCTCTGCCTTCCGCTTAGCCTCGCAACAGAAACATGGCCAGCAGCAGCAGCAGGACCGGTGCCAACCTGAAGCCAGTGGCGCGGTTTGGCACAAGGCCATCGACGGCAATCCCGTCTTCAAAGGAAGGCTGCGCTTACTGTAGGATGATGTAGGATGTCCAGGATTCAACACGAAGTTCTCAGCACCCAGCCGGCCGGCATCTGCGGCGTCCCGTGGAACATCAACCTGCACTTTTCGTCGGGGCAGCCGAAGAGCACAGACGGGCCAGAACTCTGGCCTGCTCCTGCTGCCCACCTGCAGTGACATGATGCGATGCCGATCATGCACGAATCCCACGCACGAAATGGTCCCACCTTCGCCTTGCTGCTGGCCCTGCTGGCCCTGTTGGCCTTGCTGGCCCTGTTGGCCTTGCTGGCCTGGTGGCCCTCCGCCCTGCAAAATCTTGTTACAAGGTTTGTTGCTGTGCATGGGTCTTGCGCCCTCAGTCCGGGACCGGTGGTGGTGGCAGCTCTGACTGCCACACTGTCTGAGTAACACACGTGCGTGACTGGAAGGAGAAGGCGGTACCTCTCAGGCGGCCGTCAGTGCTTAGCGACACCGCCGGGCCTGGAGGCCCCCGGGCCTTGGTGGCAACAGCAGTGCTTCTCACCCGCCAGCGGCACCGTGCACTTCTTGGCATTCTTCGTGGAGCAGCCTCAGAGCAACGAGACAATGTGAGAAGTCTGAAGTCTTTTCGAAGGTCTCTCTCATGTCTCGGTAAGTGCTTAAGTGTTCTGCCCTTTTGGAATTTCTCCATGTCAACCTTTCTGAGGCAGCTTCCGAATACTCCAGGCGAGTCGATGGATGGTGGGATGACAAAGTTCCCTCACAGCGCAGCCAGGTGCACTTGGCTGCCTTCACCCTGGCTTTCGCAGCTGGCGCGCCTTTCTCCGCGGCGTACCGTTGGATATTCTGCCAAGCATTTGGTGGCTTGTCCTGTTCCTTGGCATGCTGGCACTGGCTTTGACTCTGAGATGGACTGAAACCAGCCAGGCCGGGTATCGTAGCTCACGCACTCGCCACATCTATCCTTACCGATCTCGTACTGGCATGCGCGGTGGCAGCAGTACTTCTTGGGGTGGGTCACACACCTGCCATGTTGGGAAAGCTCAGTGCTGAAGCGAGCTCTTCACGACTTCAAACCTGCCGGCAGCGCTTGGAGGCCTGACCTACTCTGTGAAGGAGGCCCCACTTCTCGCTTCCTGGCACCGGGTCCTCACCGAGCGCAGCCGAACACAGAGGCCACCGGGCATGCGCATCACCACTGCACCAAGGGCGCGCCTCCACATCTGACGGGTCGTCCTTGTTGGGCACGCATGCGCGCTCCGGGAAGCTCCAGATGAAGCCTGCCAAGATGAGGCAGTGTCGTTCAGAACCGAAGTGGTCAATCCATGTGCAATGATTTTATGCAAGGAGCTTGAGTCGCAGCAGCAGAAATGTTGTTGCCCTTCATCTTTGCAAGCAATTGCATTCTTTTCGGTGCACCCGCGCACCCCATCATGATCGACTCCGTCGGGTATGCGCCAGAGCCCTGTACGAGAGATGAGAAATTGGACCACTGTGCAACTCGACATGAACGAAACCTGTGAGACTGCTCACCCAAACTGACAAGTACCTTCGTTAGTCAAGCTGCTTGTAGAGTTTTGGAAGTCCTGTATCTCCGCTTCTACGGTCTTTACCGTCTCCTGAGTCGGCCGCAGGTGTCTACGGTGAACCCACTGCAACACAGCAGCGCCAAGCGGCAGTTGCGGCTTCTGCTTTCAGGCACTGATCCTCATTAGCGAGGGCGAGTGGTTGAAAGTGAGCACCAGACAAGCAAAGCTGCCGACCTTCTCTGCGTCGAATTTGGATCCACGGTCACAGCACCACATCTTTTGGCCACTCGTTGGGCACTCATGGGCATTGTCCTTTGTGTGAGTGATGCCCCACCTGCAAGCGGCAGAGCACTGAGATGTTTCAGCACAAATCAAAACGCACGCAAGGAGCAATCAGTGCTTCGGACTGGAAGCCCAGGCACTTCTGCGAGCCCGGAATTGGCTCCGGCACGGCAGGAGCGGCAGGAGCGGCAGGCGCTGCCTGCTGAGCGGTGTGATCGCCACCGTGTCCGCCCTCGCCACCGTGGCCGCCATGGCCACCGTCGCCGCCGTGGCCGCCGTGACTGTCGCCGCCGTGGCCGTCACCACCGTGGCCATCACCACCGTGGTCGCCACCATGGTCGCCGCCGTGGCCGCCGCCCCCATCGTGACCGTGCACACCATGGCCGTCACCGTGGCCGCCATGGCCGCCGTCGCCACCATGGCCTCCATGGCCGCCGTCGCCACCGTGGTCGCCATGGCCATCGGCACCATGGTCGCCATGGCCGCCGTGGCCGCCGTCGCCATGGCCTCTGACGGGCGAGGGTCGGAATGCAGATCTGTCGGGAATAATCCGCATAAGCAAAGTGGGGATGTGGATGATGCTGGTGATGACAATGACGATGATGATGACGAGGACGACGATGGTGATGGTGATGATGGTGATGGTGATGATGATGATGACGATGATGACGATGACGATGATGATGACGATGCTGATGGCGGTAGCAGATGTAACGAGGATCGCTTTTCTCCGTACAAAAGCTCTTAGTTGGCGCCAGGCATAGGCCGGCGAGGTGTCCGTGCAGCTTGCGCTTGTCGCTGATCTAGACTTTCTTCGCAAGGGTAGACAAGAAAAAACAAGCCTACTGCACTGGCTCTTGTTAAAGTCTTCCTTGGGCACGCATCCTCGTGTTCTTGACATGGCCGTTCCTTTTTCCTGTGCCTTCTTGGCAATCTCTCGTGCCAGAACAATCTTGCAAGCAGCGACCCCAGTCACGTCGCAGAGTTTTCAAGAGCTCTGGGAGCGCGGCAACGGCGTAGAGCTCATGACCTTCTTGCTGCAGGTTGTCACTGCTCTTGTTCAACACATGCTGCGCGTGGTAGCACCGCATGTGAAGATGACAAGAGTCTCCATCAGGGCCCCTTTGGTGAGGCTGCCACACACCCAGATGACGGGTGCATACAACAACGTCGCCTTCCCCTGCTGGGCTTTGCGATGTGCTGCCGCATGCTGTGTAGCACCTGGGGATAGTGCACGATGCTCGTTCTGCTCTGCAAGCAGCGCCCCACCTTGATGTACATGTCAAGGTGTACCAAATGTGTACAAAGCAGAGCTGCGTGCTGTCGTCGGCTTACACAGAACTGTAAACTACAACACAAGTCGGCCTCTTCTCGGATGGGCTGGCCGCGGCTAGCCTGTACGAGTGAAGAGGATGTGCCGGGCTGCTGCCATAAGGGGCTCTGCCTTGGGGGTGTGTCATGAGAGTGTGCCATGAAGGTCTGTCATGAGGGTGGTGGGCCATGTGTCATGAGGGTGTGCCTCTTTCATACATCAGCCGGCTTGCTGCTGGGGAAGTCAGCCTGTCTCTACACGTTTGGGTCTGTCGCCGAGGCTGCCATAGCTGCCGGACTTCGTGCACCAAATGCTCGGACACACTGCTACTCGCAATGACTTGCTCCGAGGAAAACGTCTCTAGATGGACTGGCAACATGGCACCTTGGTCTGTTCTCGTCGTAGACCTGTTTGAAACCCGCACCTAGTTCGTTGGCGTTTACAGTCGCCCTGCACCGCCTTCGTATCGGCATCAGGCTCCTCAGCGGCTTCAGGCTCCTCCGTGGCCTCAGGCTCCTCAACTTCCATGTAGGGACCGCTCTCCGGCAAGCCCTCCGTGTTCTCCTGCGCGGCACCTGCCTCAAGGAATCTGCGAAGGTCGCGACAGTTGGGCGACGACGCTGTCATGCTGCTGTCGTCTCCCCGACACTTGATCAGACGCGGTGGTGTCTGGAAATCTGAGTCTACCACACCTGCCCTTCTCTTCCCGCTCACCCTTCTCGGGGTCGACCAAGATCCCGACGATGCTGGCACAGTGCTAGCTTGTGAGGGAAAGGAGCTGTGGGTGAGCCGGCGAGGCTGGTCACCGGTGACGCCTTAGATCGTGGAGAATCTGGCTGCTTGGCTGGGATCTCCGGCTCCACCTGAGTCATCGCAGACTCGATCACATCCGGCGACACTGGCTTCTGGCTCGCCTGAGAAGCTCTGGCAAAGCGCTTCAGCGCACAAACAAATTCTGGCAGAATGCATTTGTGTCCTTGAGCACAGTGGCGATGCCGATGGCGATGGCGATAGTGCATGTGACGAGGATCGTGCTGAGAATGGCGATGGTGGTGGTGACAGTGGTGATGATTGTAATGGTGCTAGTGCTGGTGCTGGCGATGGCGATGGCGAGGGTGAGGGTGATGGTGATGGTGATAATGAAGGTGATGGTGATGGTTATGATGAGGAGGATGATGGTGATGATGATGGTGCTGGTGCTGCTGCTTCGCCTTCGCCACCGTGCACATCATGACCGCTGTCAGCAGGCGCGCCCCCGGCAGGGTGCTGCTGCTGGCCACCATCGCCGTGACCAGTGTTGTGGCCACCCTTGTCCTGAGCACGGCACACCCAACAGCTCAGGCACTCTCAACAGGAAATCGGCTTTCGTTGTGCATCCCGGCAGCAGGCTCCATGATTGTGGTCTGAAGGAGCTCTCTGCTCTCCGGACCTGATACACTTGCGCTACATTTCTATGCATGCCCCGGGCCTGGGAGCTGGGAAGCTGTCAGGAGTCAGGAGTCAGGAGGAGGACAAGGCCCTTCGCTCTCTCTCTCCGGACTTGAAACTTTTGCGAAGTTGCATGGCAACATTCTCGACTCGCTACCGAAAACTGGGAACGCGGCGGGCAGAGAATATGGAGCATGGGACGAGAAACCATATCCTTGTTTGATGCAATTTGGCGCATTGCCCGGCAGGTAAGCACGTATTTCGCTTCTTCCGGGGACTCTTTCAGCTGCTGCAAGGTTGCAGGCATACGTCGCGCCAATGCCTCATGAAGTCCTTAGCAAGCGCTCTGGCCGTCTCTGGGAGAGCGCGTCTCTTGCGTCTTTGTGGGATCCTGCCATTTCCAAATCAGGCAAGACTCTCACGGAACATGGAGTTGGCAAGTCGACCCGGCACTAGCTGTAGACTGCAGCCAATACGCTGCTGGCACAAGCACAACACTTTCGCGCAACGTCGGGCCCGTCAGCCGCACACTTCACAGCGAGCGCCAAGGCTGAGCAGCTAGCTGTGCATTGAAGCTTTCCCGCTGCCAGGGCCTGTGAAACTCTGGGCGAAGCAAGCTTAGAGCAGATTCCTAGAGCACGAACCCTACCTTGGCAAAGGACCAGGTGAAAGTACCCTGCACGGTCCTGGCAGAGATTCTCGCATGGGCTCTTGTGCAAGGCAGGCAGTCGAGCAGCCAGCGATCTTGATGTCGCGGCGCAGCGAACAGCAGCGTTCGTATCACCGAGCAGTCGAGCCAAGCAACTCAACAGCTTCTCACACTCCACCCCGCCCGCGCCAATGCGGCGGCGGCACCCCTCCAACGGGAGCTCCGAGGGCCACTCCTGCAGCCTGCCGCGGCGGTGCAAAGCGTGCCCTGTGCGATACGACAGGCCGACAAGCCCCTGTCCGGCCTGGAGGCGCTGAAGACGTGCAAACGACAGGACGGGAAGGTCTGCGGGCGCCAGACCTGCGGGAGCCTGGGCGCAGACGCTGCTCTGCTCTGCGCTGCTCTGCTGCTCGAAACTCGGCTCGCAGCGTGTGCTGCACCGGCAGCGGCGGCAGCTCCAAGAACCTCCCGAAAGAACGACCAGCTCTCGCTCTCGCTCTCGCTCTCGCGCAGCTCTCGCTCTGCTCCAGGCCTCGGTCGGCTCACGAAGTCGAAGAGCCTCTCGTAGTCCACGCCTCGCCATGGAAACATCTTTGCCCAGCCCGGTGCCGGTGCCTTCTGAGAATCTCCCCGAGGTGCCGACGACCTCGCGTGACCCTGGGAAAGGTCGGCGAGAGGTTGCAACTCGGGCTCACGCCTCGGAGCTCAGGCCCCCTCGACGCAAGCAGACGAGGCCCGAGGACCGAGGACCGGACCCGGAATGATCGGATAGGAGCAATCCAGGATGGTCGTCAGTGCTGGCAGAGCCGTGGCAGCATTTCTGACTTGGTGCCAGCTCTGGGGCGCAGGCTGGCTCCAGCGGGAATCTGGGTGATGAAACGGTTCAACCTCAAGGAAGAACGGCTGCGGTCTACACAGGGAACTCCGAGCTTTGAGGCGTGGACTCAAGCATAGAGATGAGCCGGTAGGATGCCCCGGCAGGAGGGGGTCCAGGAGCCTAGCGCACCGACTTCTGCGGCGCTGCGGCGCTGCGCTGCGGCAAAAGCTTGAGCGGAGCACTGGGTGTCCGTTTGGCTGCCGGCCATTGGCCTGCCTTGACAGAAAACGACACATGGGACTCGCGCCTGAAGAGACTGACTTTCCCGGTCGAGTGACACGGCAGAAGGTTTCTTGGCCTTCGTACAGAGGCACGCTGCCATGCCACATGTCGACCAAGTCTGAGCTCCTTGCCTTGGACCACCACTCCTCCGGCAAATCCTCGGCATAGTCGGAGGGCACCAGGTAAGCCTCGCAGTCCTTTCCCTCGGCATCCTGCAGACAGACGAGCCAGTGAAGTCTGCGGTTTGCCCCAGCTGTCTTGATTCTTGATCCTTCGGATTGCGGCCTTGGGGTGCTGGGTGCCATATCCAGAGAAAGCCAGCACCAAACCTGGAAGAAAAGACCGGCGGTTCGCGGGTTTCGTTTACCCGCAAAAGTGCCAACAAGCAGCTGTCTCCAGGTTGTGCCCCGTCCATCAACCTGATACGACATGAAAAGCAACAGCCTGGGGATTCCGGGATTCCCTTTAAGTGCAGCGTTTTGCTCTGAGCACTTGAAAGAGGCTCTCGTGCTCCTTCGCTTTGTGCGCGCAAGCAGTCTCTATGCAGCCTCTGGAAGCAGGCTCAAGGAACTTTGCTGCTTCTGAACTGGGCTGCAGCACCCTCCTTTGAGCGTGCGGCGAGCTGTAGAACCACAGGATTGAAATTCTGAAGGTGCCAGCTCGGAAGGAGCTAGCCCCAGAGTCACTAGGGACATCTAGAGACTATAGTACAGCTTCTTGTGTCACCGGCGCGTGAATATCCGCGTTATCGCTGTAAGGCCTGCGACAGGGGGCGAAGCCTTCAAGCCCAGGTACTCCCCCTTGATCTCACCTTCCCGGGGTCCGGCCTTCACTGTACTGTGAGTGCTTCCACGAGGAGGAAGACAATCCCTCAGGCCCGAGATTCCCGTTCACCAGCGTGACAAGGGCATCCGGCTCACCTCGGCCAAAGGCCGCTTCGATCTTCGCGAAGGGGGCTGGGCTTGCTAGAGTCAGTGCTGTCAGGGCACGATGTGACTGCGCGTCTTCTCGCTCCAGATCCTGAATCAAGCCCTGGGTGGCTCGCCCTCGGGGCCTCAGGCCTCTTTGGAACCACCTGTCAACCTTTGCCGGGTGCCCAGTCCCTTTCAACGCTTTCGGCCACTTGCAATGTGCCTGCGGACCAAACACTTCAAGAGCCCAACCGACACCCAATCTAAGGCTTCCCGAACAGATTCTCGCGGCCTTCCGCTAACCGATCTCGTGACGGTGCACTGGCTTAAGACATTAGAACCCTTTAGAACTATAGCCCCATCCCCGTGCAGAGTGAATCGAAACCTGTGCTCCGTCTGACTCCCAAACTCGGCAAGAGCAGACTCAACGGACTATGCCACAAGTGTGGAGCCTGAATCTTCCTCGCCAGCTCCTCATCGGAGAGGCCTTCGTCGGGGCTCGGCAAGCCTCCACTCGTGGCACACTGGATTTCTAAGGGTCACAGCTGCAAAGCATTCAGCTCTCGGTTGCACTTGGGTGCTCGGCAAGTCCTGGGAGTTCTGGGAAGGCCTTGAAGCCGAGCTGGTGAGCTAGAGGACCTAAACCCCCAAGCCCCAAGACTCTTTTCTTACACAGGGGCCTAGCTGTTCGCACAGCAGGTTGTGCCGATGGGTCCGGAGGAAGCGCTGCAAGCCATCTGCTCCCAGGTTGCCAGCCCCAAATCCCACCCCATCAGCTGTGTGTATCTGGGGATCAGTGTAGAAAGTCCCAACACCCTGAATATCGCAAACCACCAAGAGCTTGTCGGAGATGATGTAGCTGAAGTAGGAAAATGCTGCTGCCACCTCGTCGTCTGTCTCCGTATGACCAGCATTGTCACTGTGCTTCACATAATCGCCGGCCAAGTACGGCTCCAAACAAAGCGGCTCTTCAAATTCATCCATCTTGACAACAGACACTGGCAGGAATGCAATGCTGTAAGGCAGCCCTGCATGCGAGCACCACTTGTTGAACTCTTGTGCATAACACTCTGCGACCATCTGGGTCATCGCCTCGTGGTAGTTCACATCTGGGTCCAGCCCACAGTGAGGCTTTATCCTCTTGAGGACCGCATCCACTTCACAGCCATCTTCCAACAGTTCCCGTGCGTGGTAGACCACTCCTCCGAGTGATTCGCTGTCGAGGCATGAAAGACGCTTGGCCAAAGGCCGTCTACTTTGCAAGCGGGAACCAGAGCATGGGGGGTGGGAAAGCTGCAGCCAAGCATCGCATGCCACCCTCACTGAATGGCTCCGGGTCCAGGCGTATCCGCACAGGTTGCTCCTCCCAGCGGCCCTGCTCACAGTCATATGTGAACTTCACCGCCTGGTGCTCCCTGGGCTCCTTCGTCGGCATCAGGAAAGCCCTGGCTGGGTACTCTAGGAGCACTCTAACTCCCAAGGTTCGGAGAGCCGAAGAGACCAGGCGGCCAGGCAAATGCGTGCATCCAATCCAAGTTCAGTCTGCTCGGCCGCGGGCCACTGGAAGCCGGAGAGGATGTTCTCCTTGGAAGGAACCTGCAACGGGCGAGCGAGACCTCTCAACTCGATACAGTGGGGGCCCTGTCTTTGGCTGTCTCATGTGCGCCTGCGACAGCTTGGCCGGCTCCCCGTCGTCCACAAGCAGCCGCACTTGATCCTCTTCGAAGAGCAGCGACTGCCTGTCAAAACTGATGTTGCAAGTGAACTGCAAAGGCGATGCAAGCAATTGGATGCAACGCAGCCACTGACACGACGTGCTTGCCTCAAAACCGCGTGGAGGTTCCAAGCGTCGTTCACGGCACCCTTGAGCGGAGCATGCGAGCCTTGGCGAGTCTTCAGAAAACACCGCTCCGGCGACATCGGATCTCCCATGGCCTGCGTAGTTGACACCAATAATCAGGGCCTGCAGTGCACCCAGAATGTATGGGTTCAGGAGGCCAGGGTCCGAGTTCTGAAAGCCTTGCGGCGAAGGTTGGGGGAGAGCGGGTTCCTCATGATATCTGGCCACCTGAGTCAAGCCGCTACACCTGACGGACCTGACAACGACCAGCTACCACAGGATCTGGGGGCTGCACATGGTGCTCACTTCACCCTTGCTGATTTCCTGTGAAGTCAGCCACAGCGAAATGCCTTTGATCTGCTGAGTTTCGGCTGATCTGGTGCAAAGATACTTCTTTTTCGCCGTGCTAGAGAGACAGCTCATGCCCCCAGAAGAGGTCGTCGAGGTCAACATCTTCGTCACTCAGGGCCTGAGGTCACCGTCTCTCGACACTTCAAACTTCTGTCAAGAGGTGCCCTACAGCGGCCTTCTCTGGCTCGGCCGAGCGCACAGCTCGAGCTTGCTGGGTCTGGCATGGCTCCCAGGGCTTCTTCACCGTCACTCTGGGGCGACCCTGCCTCTGCTCGCTTCGCGAGGAGCTCCGGGGTTCGTTGCCACAACTCTGCCTGGTGCCTGCCGAGAGGTCATCCCAGCCCGATGGCTCCGATAGCTGCGATAGCTCCGATAGCTGGGCCCCCGCCTGTAGGAGAGCTCCTCCTCCACGGTGCCCAGAGTCACAAAGCGCCAGAGGAAGACCCGCTTGGTCTGCCCCACGCGGAGGCAGCGGCCCAGCGCCTGCGTCTCGTAGGCCACGGCCAGGCGGGAGCAGGATGCGAAGACGGGATGGACGAAGAGCACATGGTTCCTAACGGCCGGGTGCGATGTGCGTGTGCAGAGCAGACTCTCTCGAGAGACCTCGCCGAGTGCAGCGTGCAGCATGCGGCAAAGGCTCGCTCGAGTGAGGTTCGTGCCAGATGCTGCATCTTGCAAGGAAAGCAACAACACCTTCGGGCCCTCCGTCGATTCGAGCGGGGCTCCCTGGAAGCTCGTGACGACCTCAGCGCTCCGCAATCCCTTTCGAAGCAGCCCAAGCCCACAGATTGAGTCCGGCGCATCATCGCGTTCCCAGAAGCTGTGCAGCACCGGGTTGTTGGAGGCATCGAAGCGCTCCTTCCACCGAAAAGATGCGATTGTTTTAGACATCTGCGGCTCTCCGACGTGGCCTCCAGGCAGACGTAGGGCACCTGGAACTCCGCAAAGGCAGCCGCCAGCTTCCGCCGGAGGCTGGCCCACTGCACGAAGACGATGGCACGCGCCGTCGGGTCCTCTCGAAAACCCACGCCGCCACAGTGAGGGGCAGTTATTTCCAGCTTTGCAGGTCCTCCTGCGCGATGTCCCGAAGCTTGCGCACCACGTGGAAGAGCTTCGACCCGAATCGACCCCATCGCTGGCGCTCCTCACGAAAACTCGAAAACTTCTCACTCGGAACAGCCGGAAATGAGTGCCATCGGCCGTGTCCTCGCGCTCTCCGGGCTGCACCGCACCGGGCTCGCGCACACGCAGCACTTCATCCAGCCCTGGCTCCCGGCGCAGAGATTGGCGGCAAAGAGCGCACTCACCTCTCCTGGCACAAAAACCCAAGCTCAGGCGGCGCTTCCTTTTGCACTGCTAAGACTGCTAAGCATGCATGCAACGCGGTCACAAGCTGCACCGGTTGTTTCGCACTCCACAGAAATGCGCTCAGCCGGAAGTTCTTTGCCACCAGCCAGACTTCTACGGGAAAATTGGCTTGGGAGGGTGAACTGGAAAAGGCGGAGCCTTGTCCAACGGCTCTCCGAAACAGTGACACAAAAGGCCAGAATCACGCAGAGAAAACTAGGCCTACTTGAGCTCTTCGCAGTCTGTGACGCTCTTTGCGCAGGCAGAGATGGCTTCTGTGGGACACCTTCGCTTGGCCGTCTTCCATGTCCGAGCACAGGTCACCAGGCCACCAGATCCGGCGCTCGTGCTACGAGGGATGGCATGGCCTCTGTCTACGCAGTGGATTCCTCGATTCGCGTGTACCTGGGAGCACAAGAGCACAATGATGGAAAAGGGAGGCTGCAACCGATACAATTCCCAGGCACTTAAGGCTGTAGTCGGCAATGCTGACGGCACGATTGCCAGCCTTGAAGAAGAGCTGGTCATTGGGATTCCTGGTCTTGGTATGGTGGCATGGCAATTTCACAGGCTGCACTGCAACTTTTTTTCGAGGCACAGAAACCCGAGGAGCCGAAGGCGTCCCCGGACGCCGGTGTCCGTCTTCTTCAAGGCTGTAACCTGCAGCACGCCCATAGAACACACCCGCGTCTCCAGGGATCAGAAGGCAAATCGACCCCATCCTGTCCAAGCAGCGACTTCTTCATCCACTGTCAGTGGGTTGTAGCCGGCCCCAGGCGCCGCAAAGAGCGTCCGCGTACTGGCGACACCTGAGAACAGCATAGAACAGCGTGGCGCAAGCGAATCAAGCGTAATCACGACATGATCTGCCTCGCCAAATATCGTTCTCCGGGGACAACTCCGTCTGGAAGGCTGTGATAAAGACCTTCCTGGGAAGGCAGTGAATTCAGAAGTTTACAAACATTAAATCACGATTCGATTGTTCCGTTTTGTCCCACCTTGGACCCCTCAAGCCCGCACAATTTACTTATGACTTAATTGGCCCTTGAACGTCGCGCGATGGTCTATTCCACGCCTATCCTGCTCCTTTCTCGGCACAATTAAGTCATGACTTAATTCTTTTTCCCACATTACCCGAACCCAGGACGACAATTACATCAAGATTTAATGGTTCTGAATCAACGACCAAACCTGAAACAACTAAATCGGAGGTTAATTGTTTTTTCAACAGCTGGCAAGAACGCAACAATTAACTCAGTATTTAATTGCCTCCCGAGACCATTGTTTCAGGCTCAAGGTTTCGCAGTTTCACTGCTTGTGATGATTTGACTGCGGCGTTCGACATGCAAGGTTGAGTTTCCGAGATGCGAAGTTCGCGCCCGAAATGCATGGCACCAAACAGTTTGCATCTCGAAACTATATGAGCACGTGAATGCTTCGGCGGTTTCACCGCATGCCGCTAACAACCTCCGCGACCGCTGTCAGTGTAGTCAGCATCATATCTCCATCGTCCCGTAACTCATCATCCAACTTATCGTGCACACCTTCGGGCTTTCACCCTATGGACCGTAAAACCTTAATTGGTCTCGTCGCATCCAAGGAACACATGCAACAATCAGACGAGGTTAAGGTTTAGGGTGTAAGGCAACGAAATAACTTTCAACACATAATTCAACCAACCAATGCAGCAACAACGACAAAGACAGTGCGCTGCTTGTTCGCCGCCCTTTACTACACAAACTCGCCTAGGCTTTATGGTAACAGGATTTACATAGAGTTAGCCGCTTAGCGTGATGGTTCGTCAGACCTGCCCGATCCTAGTATGGCGGCGCTGCCTCTGTTGGCCTTGCTGCTGTCCTAGTATCAGAATTACCACGCCACTAGGAAGTACAGCACTTCAGCTCATAATTTAATGTGGTATCCCGCCAGCGCAGTGGCACAACTCTTTAAGCAGATTCTACTGGTATGCAGCGAGACGAACAGCACAACCTAGGTTCTAAGAACATCCACACGGACGGTTCGGAGCTTGCAATCCCTAAGCCCGATAAACCTGCGACCGGTCATTGTGGCGATCTACTTATTTAGGCCAGCTTCCCTTCCAACGTGATTGGAACCAACTACGTTCCTGGTGGTTACCAAGAGAAGGACGCCAAATTGCGCAATTAAATCATATTTAATGTGGTATCCCGGTTTCGCAGCGTACCTTCGATCTAACTGACTACCCTACTGGTGGTTGCCAAGAGAAGGATGCCAAATTAAACAATTGAATCGTTCCTTCGAACATGACAGGAACTAACTACAGTGCTGGTGGTTACCAAGAGGAACGCCAAAGACACAATTAAATCATGATTTAATTGTGTATTAGAGAAATGCATAGAGACACAATTAAATCACGACTTAATTGTATCTTCGCACGGTCCAAGGTAGGTCAAAACCGAACGATTCACTCGCGATTTAGTTTTTTAAACTTCTGGATTCATTGCTTTTCGACCTTCCTGAAGCCGTGGTGCAAACACCCCGAAGGATCGCACAGCGAGGTGCAGCGCAGCACACTCTCCGCCGCTCCGAGTGCGGCAAGGGCTCTGGACAGCTCCTTTGAAGTTCACCAGCACATTCCGAAGAGGATCTGACTCACCATTCCCTGCTCGCGTCGCAAGTTCACCTCGGGGGCCCATACAGGGGCTGCAGAATGGAACTGCGGATGAGTTTTGTTTCGGACCCGAGTCAGGCGGCGCGTGTTGTCTTGCACCTCGACATACTCCACATTCTTCACCACTTCCCGCCCCGCAAAGGCATTCAGCTTCGCCTCAGGGACAAACTCCCTGAAGTCGACTCGAGTTGCTGCAGAGTTCTCTAAGTGGAGTAGAGTCTACAGAGTCCAGAGAGTCTCGTCGCATCGTGCAGCTTAGCAGCTCTGGTGTTGTAGGCGCGGTCTTCAACAATGTTGTTCCTCGCACGCAGGTGAGGACTGCTAGCACTCGGACACAGCAGCCTCTCCTCTGTGTTCGAAGGTACCTTCGGGCAGGATGGGAAGCACCTAGACTTTTGGGACCCGCCCGCGCATGCCGGGGCATGGAGGCCTGAGTTCAAAGTCGATGGTCTTCCCGAGCTGGTTCTGCTGCTCTGACAGGACTTTGTTGGCGACTGCCTCTGCTCTGCAAACAGCACTGATACGCCGACCCTTACGCCACAACCCAACATAGCAACAGACACAACGGCTCTGACCAAGTCGAGGCACACTTTGGCCGTTGGCCAGGAACTGCTTCCCCAGCGGGGCAGCATAGCTCTCCAGCGTCTGCTCCACGCGCCAGCCTAAGGTCACATAGCTACGAAGGGATCTTCTTCAGAGAAGGGAGGGGCACAGAAGTTCACGCACGTCACTCCGACCGCCTCATGCTTCGGCATACGTCTGCCACCCTGCACCTGTCATCACCTGTCTTATGTGCCGAGTCACGGCCCTCCATCCACTCCGGATAGTACAAATCATCAGGACCCCAGCCTGAATTGAGGACAAATCATCAGGTGCCGCGAGCTGTCAATGCAAAAAGGAGGCCAGCCCAACCTGGAATGTACCCACTCGGAAGCTTGTCGACCTCAACGAGACGCGTCTCTTGCTATCCGAGCAGGAACGGATCCGCAGGCCTCTGTGCCATTGAAGCGCAGCTGAAGGGCGGTCTTCTCCGCGGCGGAAGCTGGCAGAGACCTTACTGTATGTCAACAATGGAGTAGAAGAGGAAGAGGCCAAACCAAGCCAACAGAGGCCAAGCCAAGCGGCCATGGAGTGGCAGCCAAGCCCACAGCAGTACCCACACAAAGGACGTCTCGCCGACGTCCCTCCACTGGCAGAGTCCAGGCGTGCCTCTGAGCACAAGACCGCCAAAACCCCAACCTCTACAACGGCCATAAAACTGCCATAAGACGTCCCTCTGTTGCCGGGCCGCGACCAGAGCTCGGAGCCTGCGCAGAGGCCCGCACAAAGGGCGCCAAGGCCACGCCTCTCAAAGAGGCGCCGAGACGCTGAGGGCTGTGCGATTGCTGTGCGACTGTGTGCCTGCGCCGCCGCTGCATGTCGGGCACTGCACGCGGAGCTGGGCGGCTGCCTCCGTTCGCTCTGCGCTTCGAAGACTTGTGGGCAAAAAAGCTTTGCCAGCTTCTGCCTGGACCCCCGCCGGCGGCTTTACGTCCCGGTGGCGCCATGGCAACCGAGATGTCCATGCAACAAGGCGCGCTGGTCTCATGATGTCTCACGCCCTTATGGTAACTTGCTTTAGAGTGTTGAAAATTCACCCACGCTTGGGCACCATGGCTCGCAGACGTGTGAGGTTGTGCCCACCGTCCAAACTCTGCGGTGCAGAAATGCTGAAAGGATGATTGAAGATGGGACTTCTGTCCTGACCAACTTCCCGGCACAATGGAGGCAGAAGAGATGGGCGCAAGCGGCCAGGATAGCACCTGAGCATGGTTGGCTGCATCCGTCCCGCCGCCAACATTTCTTCAGACGAGTGTGGATCATTTCTGGGCTTCCTGGCGCTCTGTGGGCGGAGCTTCGCTGAAGCAGACCTCTGCTCTAGCCCTCCAGCTGACCCAAGTGCTCTGAGACGCGAGGCCGAGGCTGGGCAGCAGAAGCGGCTGGCCTGCAAGCTGGCCATGAAACAGGAGAGTTGAACAAGCTAGAATCCCCAAAACCCCCACGCATGAACCACACCTTTCCAAGCACAGTCGCAGTCGCAAAATAAAAGAAGTAACAACGGTCTCATGACCCAGTGCGCGGGGCAGCGGCCGTGCTTCCCCTTCACAAACCGACCGCTACTGTGATGTTCAACAACCGGGTCAGACATGCGGATGACAGTACAAGTACTCTCCCTTTGGCAAGGCTCGCAGGAGATCGCGTTGTTTGCAAAGACGACGGCGTCTCTGGCTCGCGCTAGCTTCAGAGATCCGACATCTGCTAGCTGAACTCTTCGCAGGCAAACTCCCTCGAAAGGAATGAACTTAGCAAAATCCTTGTCTGGATTCGATCTCAGGATCTCGTTCATGTTGCGCGCTGCTCCATCTTCAGAACCCAACTGTGATAGCTACGCCACGGCATGCCTGGCCTCGGCTGCCTCGAGCATCGCCGCCAAGAAAGCGTGATCGTGACTCCTGGGGGGCGCACGCGGCGCATGTTGCGGAGGCACGCGGGCCCTCAGTGCCCTCATCCGTCCTTTGGCGGAAGGCCTCCTTGGCTTGCTTCACCTCTTCCAGCAGCTCCACCAACAGCTCCAAGCTATCTCCAGAATTTTGAGGCGCACCCTGGGCACGTGTAGATTAAAAAAATTGCGAGCAAGAGAACATGGTCAGCGAAGAGAAGCCTCGGAAACGACTTCGGAGCCGCTAGCGGCAGAAGCCAGGCTCGAGTCACGCACTTCCGTGATGGCCCTCAGAGACAAAGAAGGGAGAGAATAGCGGCTGCTCAGTGCCTAACTTAAAACCGGGCTTGCTCTGCGTTCGACGACCATGCACTCCGACCCATCTCCTGTAACTTCGCCCGGAGGCCATGTCATGTGCAAGTTTAGGTCAGTTTGGCAATGCTTCAGCCCGATCCAGTCCCTCCGCCGGTGTGTACACAGCGCATGTGTTCATGTATAAAATTTTAATGGCCGTCTGGCCGGGCCTCAGGATCAGGTCGTCCGCATCGCGCTCGTGTCGCCGGCCCTGGCCGGCGCTTTGCCGAGCGGCACTGGCCCCGGCGATCTGCGAGGCCACGGCCTCCGTCGAGCGACTCAGAGGCTCGCCGCCGACTTCGGCCAGCAGCTGCGCGTACTGCTCCGCGACGAGGGTCGGGAGGCCGTTGCCGCGGCGGCGCGCCGAGAGGATTTCTGCCTCCATCCTTCTAGCAGATACCAACAGCCACTGCCGAGCAGTCTCCACCGCGTCTGCTCTTGTCCGCAGAAGCGATGCGCTTTCCCTCTCGGCGTCCGCTTCCACATCAGCCTCTTCCAACCGAAAGTGCGAGCACAGCTGCAGCAAGTCAGAGCAGACTGGTTGATCTACGTGGCCCATCTGCTTCTGCTGCTTGTGCTTGCGCTTTGCATCCGCAACCCCTTGAACGTAGATTGCACGCTCGGCTGGCGTATGGTAGAGAGAGACCAACTCTTCATGAACGTCAAGACCCGACAAAGCAGAGGAGCCGTTTGCCCTCGCCACATAATCCAGCATTCTCTGCGCCATCTCCCTGGCATCCAGCTGCCGCCGAAACGCCTGCAAGTCTATCTTGAAGGCCTGGCAGGGCTGACATGTACAAACCCTGTCACGCTCGTCACCAACAGAAACTCATCAAGAGTGGTGCTTTCGGCAACGATGCATCCAATGATGCTACTCTGCCACTTCGCGAAACCATACTGTTTCCAACAGCTGAAAGGAGGAGGAGACCAAGAAGGTTTCTCCTGGTCTATCGCGCCTTAGCTTGATGGCTTTGTTCTGAGTGTCGGAAGCAGCAGAAACACCCAAAGAAAAGTGAGACTGTGAAGATTTACGTCTGTCCGGGGCTGTTGAAAACAGCACTACGCAAGAGCACACGAGAAAGACTTGTCCGGTTGGAAGAACCTTTGGCGGCTATACATGGTACCATAAAGAAGGCTGTTGGGCATTGGGGCCTCAGCGATCCGCGCCACGGAAGCAAAATCGCTGAGGGGCGGCGTGCCGGTGAGACCCCACAGCGAGGTCGCCTCTCCACAGTCGGCCCACAATTCCTGCAATGCCAGCAGCCGTCCGCTAGATGCTGAGTCCAAGATTTCATGGAACTCGTCGACGACGATCCGGTCCACACCACTGAGGCAGATTGCCCCTTAGACACACCGGTCTGGTAGGCCCCTTCAGCGACAAATCGGACCCTCAACTAAGCTGGCTGCGCAGCTTGTGTGCCATCTCCGCAAGGTCCATGTCCACGGAGGCCTGAGGCTGTTTGCCAGCACCTCTCAAACATGCGGAGGAATGGCCGCCACCTCCATCCGCGGCCGTTTCTCAGCCGTCGCCAGAATCTCCACAGGTGACAGAAGCACTTGGGGAACGGCTCCTGACAGGACCGAAAGCTACACCGCAACACCATGCTGCAATGCTACACCTCGCCTCGCTCCGGGATGTCGCTGACGCCCAAGTAGAGTTCGATGGCATTTGCCGGAAGGAATTTCCGGACCTCCTGCTGCCACTGCTGCAACAGCCGGCCGGGGACCAGGACCAGTGTCCGTCTGCTCGAGGCCTGCAAGAGGATGCTACAGGCAAGAGTTTCTCGCTGCGGAAAGTCATATCACTCTTCCCTTTGCTGGGGTGCACATCGCAGATTCGTGCAGTCACGGAGCTGGACATGAAAATTGGACAATCGTCACATGAAAGGGCTTGCACACTGGCTGAGGAACGCATTACCGGCAAATGTTTTTGATTTGGATTGCAGCTTTCGAAACGACATGCGCTGTTCTTCTCGGACAACAGAAACCAACCTCTCACAGACTTCCACAACCTCTCAATCACAAACGAAAGCACGAGAGCACACTCCAAAATACGTCGACGGCGAACACACGATGGGTATCTAAAACGATTGGAAACTGCAACTTGACAATCGGCAAGCCTTGAAGACCTGTGTAAAGGGCGCACGCAAAGCAACTACAACAACAAAAAACGAACCCCAAGCCCCAGCGAAGCTCAACCTCATCACAACCTATTGCAAAAAAGTGCTCTTTAGGTCCTGGGGCGTTTAGCGTGTCGGTGTGGAAGCCATTAAAGCCTGCAGGGGCACGACGTCTTGCCTCACACAACATACAAACCATAATGCACTATCCATCATGCAACAAAAACCACGATACTTTAAGCGAACGCAGCTCCAGCAACAACACATGTGTCTTTTTGCTGCGTGGCAAAGCAAAAAGTCTAGCTCAAGGGCCCGTCTTGGGAGGTCGTGTTGCACAGACACCCAGGGCTTAGTGTCCAAGGATGCCCCCGAAGTCGGCTGACTTGTACTGCACGGACTGTAGGCGGGTTTCCAAAGGCATCAGTGGCACAGAAACCGGTGGTTCTGGAAGTCCTCTCGGTAATGCTTGCTGTTCCTGAGGTCTTTCAGAGCCCAATGGCGTGTCGGGGACCGGTAACGCTTGTTGTTCATGATGTCCAGCTCCAGGCTTGGTAGCTGTTTGAGCAGGCGGATTCGGTGACGTGCTCCTTGGTGCCGCTCTTGGTGTCTTCGGCGTTGAATTGCCACCTCGCTTGTTGATGCCGCGCTTCCTCCACCTCCAGTACACACACGGTTGTCCAGGCCTTACATGGCAAATCTGTCGAGGCAACCCTCAAGCACTGTTTGACACTGAAGTCACGCTGGCCGCTTGATACAGCATTGTGGCGGCATCCACCACTCCACGCACAATCACCGAACGGCCCCTCAAGTCCCGACACGATCTTCTTGCCGACCTCGCCCGCCGGGTCCACTGCGAAGGACCGGTGCAGCATCTCAGCAATCTCGTTCCAGGCGCAGTAGGTGACGAACGTCTCGCAGACGCCGAAGCCGAGGGTGCTCCTTGCCAATCCACAATCAGGTTAAGGAGGAGCTGCCGGGAGGTCGTCACAGTGCACCTGGCTGGTGCCGGCCTTTGGTTTAAAGCGTAAGGTAGGCCGCGGCGCCAAGGATGTTGGTGTAGAGGTCCATTCGGTATCGTGGTCCAGCCGGGCAGCCGCAGGAACCCGGCTTGGTAGTCATGTTGTCGGCCGCCGGCCTGGCTTAGTGACGATCATTCGCATCCCTGTGACACCTGCTCGCCGAGGAGATGCTGCATGTTGTTGCCCAGGCACCCGTCGGCCCGTCGGGGAAGAAGTCGAGGTAGCATGTGGCCATAGGCGCCGTTGTGCTCGCAGTGCTTTCTCCATCCGTCGGGGTCATCACGAAGACGGTCGGCCACCACAGCGTGCAAAGTCCCAATGCTGTGTCAGCCAGAGCCGAGGCCCCCATACAGACAAATATTTGACAACTCCGGTTGAGCTCGTGACAACAGGGACGCAGGGCATGCACTACAAGTTCAATTACCCCATTGGCTCCGATTCTATTTTCTCCGGCTTGCTGTACCTTGGGAGTCAGACAGCTGTCGACGGCAGGGCCAACCTCAAGCACTTTAACATGACTGCGCCGGTGAACCGGGTCATCTCGCAACACATCATCCTTTCCATCACAGAGGCCACCCTCGCAAGCTCAGTGAGAGTAGATCTGCAACTGGCTTCGGAAACTGTCGCGCCCAACGTCATACTCTCGGCTATCATAAGCCTCGGGTGGCCAGTGAAAACCTGTGCCAGGCTTGTTACGCAGGCGAGGATCATAAGCGCTGCAGGTTTCGAAATCTGGCAGGGCATAAGTCGTCTGGAAACGGAGGATGTTTCTGGGCTTCACGTCCGAATGGCACAATGCCTGACTTCGCATGTACAACAAAGCTGACAGCATGCCAGCTGCTAAAGGCCGCAAACTTGAATACGAGATCAGCCCGTTTGGATGCACGAGGGCAAGTCCGCCCCGCACATGGGCAACGCCATGAGCTCCAAGTACTCGTTGCAGATGGAAGCGATTGGCTGGATGATGTTAGGATGATGCAGCTTCTTCAAACTTCCGAATTTCTTCGGGACTTCGCTTATTCAACGCCTTCACAGCAACGGCGTGGCCTTTGAATCGACCTCCGTGGATTTTAGAAGTGGCAGCCTCCCCCACGACCTTGGAAAATTTGCTGATTATCGGCCGTTTTGGAGCGGTGGCATTAGCCTGAGATGGATGCCGTCTCCCGCTGAAGGTGCTCCACATGTAGCTCGGCCCGTTTGCCGAGCTTGAGGTCGCCGGCCGTGCCAAGGATTGAGACAAGTCAAAACTGCGAAAGCCACGAGGAAACAAATCGCCGGCAGCCCGACGTCAAGCGGAACGGTGGCAGGAATGCCGCTGGCACCAGTTGAAGCCAACTCCTCGACCAGCTGACACATGTCTATAGTGCGAGCTCTGCGCAGGCACAAGGCAGCTGCTCCAAAAGTGACTTCACACCAACAAAGACCGAAGCAATGCCTCGGATCGAAATGAACGTTGAAGGCGAGCAGGAAGGCCGCCAAGAGCATGTCAAATATCGGGAAGTATAAGGCAAGCGGGTCCACCTCAACAGTGGCCAGCATTTGGTACTGGCCAATGGCATGGCATTCCTCTCGCAAAGGTCCGTTTGCGGGCGCCCAGAGATTCGACCCACCGAAGAAGATCAGGATGAAGCCAGCAGCAAGCATAGCAGCGGAGCCGATTGGCTAACCACTTTGAGCATCCAGCCTGCCATGATCTGGGTTGGTAGCACAGCGACTGTGGAGGCCGATGCTTTGATATACCACTGACTCCACAACTGTTATGTTCCGCCCAATCTCACTAGTTTGACGCTCTGACTTTGGTTTTATGGCTGGCTTCAACTGCTCCCGAATCAAAGCACTCGGTGCCACTTGCGATACGTAAGCCTGCTTGAGCAAGGCTTGAGCCCCAGTTCTGGCTAGCACCTGGCCCACATCTCATATCTCTATGGGTTTCATAGCTCTCCACCCACTTCCAGGCAGGGTGCAGGCCTCCGGCCGAGAGCCTCAGACAGTCGCAGAGTCACCTACGGCAACACCCTTTTTCTCTCGGCCCCACACCATCTGAAGCCACCAGCCCCAAGGTGACCGCAGTCTTTCCCTGAGGCCACGATGGGCAATAAGGACTTGACGGACTCACAGAGGGCGCCACACAACCAAGAGCACGGCCGACCCCACTTGGTCTGCAAGAAGCCCTCCTGACAGAAACACGCCGAGGGTGAATACCGCTGTGGGAGCTGTCCGGGGCACTGTTGCGGCATCCACAATGCAGATTGACGAAGCTCAGTCACTGGGACGTAAGACTTGTTTCAGTGAATCGTGCTGCCCTTCAGTTTGACGTCAGTCATCCAGCACGTTGCTTTTGTAATCACTGCGCCAGCATGGTTGTACTGAGGGCCGGTAAGTAGTGGAGTAGCCGTGATTATCTCCCCCTTCTCAGTCTCCGGTTCTTCAACACAGTCACCGGTTCATCACTGCTCGCTCACCCCGGCAGCACAAAAAGTCGAAAATCCTGATGCCGCTGCGCGGCAGTATGCAACTGTGCAGCCCCCTATGCAGCCCATACTACCCACCCAGCCGGAAAACATCGGCCTCGCAGGTGGAAGGCGCGCTGCACTCGCGCCACAGCTCTGCAGCCCAGAGCCTTTCATGACGAGCAGAGGGGAGGTCAAGAGGGAGGTCAAGGACAAACCGATCCCGAAGACATTACCGGGCCTCACAAAGTAGCTGCTGCGCGGCATGCGGCGGATGGAGCGTTGGGAAAAACCTCGGCAGACAGCAGCGTCGACTCTTCGCAGTGCCAGATCTCAGCGCTCAATCGCTTGCGAAGGAGCTCACGGCTCACTCCCAGGAGTAGCGGCTCCCGATTCTCTGCCTCGCAAGCCTTTCGTGGACAAAGCCCGCAGTGAGGACATAAGCAAAGGTCAAGGCATGGCCTGCATCCAAGCCAGGGACCGAAGTTGGTGTCCGCGTAGGGGCAGAAGCAGTCCACTGGCTTCTGCCTCAGAGCCGAGCTCCCATATATCCCCGGAGTCTAGAGTCTTCGAGATGTCTTGATGTCTTGGAGGCTCAGATGCACTCGTCGTGTAATGAGGGTTCACAGAATGGAAGGGCGGGAGGCCTCCGCATCCATGGTGTTCGACAGCAGCTGAAAGGCCCGTGATGATGCATTTGCCTGACGAGGGAGCCAAGCGCCAGGGACTCTCAAGTGCCGCACAACAATGGTACTAAAACTGTTACAAAATTGAAAAGGATGGCCCTTTACCACCGCCGCACCTGCGTCTTCTCATGCGCCAGCTCCGTGTACACATCAACATCGAAGCTCCAGGGACGCTATGACTACCCGACGACCCTACGAGCCCCGTTAGATCCAACTCTGGGGGAGGACAATCGGGCTTCATTCGATCCTAGCGACCATGTGGAGAAGCTCAAGCTGCACGAAGACGCAGAGTGGACGAATTTTGGGTGCAACAGTTGGGGCGGTCAGCAAGAGTGAAGCCTTGAACTTTGAATCTGGCCCAAATCCTACCTCTGGGGTGCTTGGCTACGAAACTTAGCTTGTGCCGGCTTGAATCCTCCCCGGACCTGCTGCTAGTGACCCCGCCAAAGCCGCCACTGACTCCTCGCAGCTTCGACCCGCAGGGACCGATGCGGCGACATCCAACGGTCCAAGTTTGTCCTCCAATTCCCGTCAGAGCCCGCGGTCTGCGCCCAGGATCACGCCCATGCGTCCTCGTCACGAAGAAGACAAGAACCAGCTCCCTGCCTCATGCTCTCTTTCGGCCTCTCCATGGACGGGGAGAGCGCCTGCGGAGGTTCCAACGCTCCCGCACCAAAGCGGCTCAAAGCGCCAAAGTATGCAAAGCGCCTCCTCCCGTGACCTTTTCTCGAGGCGCCACGAGAAGCGAAGGTGCGGCCCCAGCCTCCAAGGCGGATAGATGGCCTCAGCTGAGAAGCTCCAGAGAACTGCCAGCGCACAAGTCGCCAAAGGGTCCCTGCGAAGCGAGCTCTTTGGGCGAGCGCGAGTGGGTCCGCGACGACCTGAAAGCACACGCACGACATCCGGCCACATCCCATCATGGTGCTCAGAAAAGCGTTTTGCGGCCAGGCGACGCGCAGCTCCAGGTCAAGCCTGCCCGCCTTGGAGCCCTGCGCGGCCAAAACAGGAGCACAGACTCCGCGGATCGTCGGATGTCCTTGGACCCGTTGTCGCCGTCGCCACAGACGACAGCGCAGACTCGAAGAGGCGGCAGGCCAACAAGTGGGGCCTCCTGCAACACGTCGAGCCCACACCACTGCGTGGCAAAAACCTGCCTGGTCTCTGCTCCTGCTGGCCTAGCAGCCACGACGTGCCATGTACAAGGTGGACAGCGGCCCCCGACGTGGCAGCAGGGCGAAAAACAGCAACGAATTCTCTCCTCCGCGTCGCCATCTCGCAGTGGCACCTCACAGCTCGGGGCATCTCGCGCGGCAGAGAGTCACGCTGAGGGTGAAAGTGAGGGTGAGGGGTGAGGGGCGAGGGCCGGGGCGACAAACAAGGCGAGAGTGCAACCCCCAATCAACATGACGCACTACACACTGCTACATGACCTGGTGGTGGAAAGCTGCAGTTTTGCACCGTAAATGTGCCTATGTGTGAATCCTGTGAACCGGTACGAAGATCTGGAAATCTTGGCAAATGCTGGCGCAAGTCAGTCTGGGTAGGCAAGTGTGACGCAGTTTTTGTTTCAGCCCGGCCTCGCGCCATCCCGAGGGCACTGCTGGCAGTCCCGTGGGCTCCACCTCCAAACCCGCCGAATCCTGCAAGGGACCACGACAAAGATGAACTGAAGAACGGAGATGTTGGAGTCTTCGACAGTCTAACAGTCTAACTCTAACATTTCAAACCGTGCTTCTCTTGCCGAAGCACTGAGAAGTGAGTGAGCCAGCCAGCTTCCACTTTTGCTCTTGCGTGTCTTGTCACCTCGTCGTTTGTAACTCAGGCAGCGGCGTTGTCGTGCAAGCAGTCTGCCAGATGCCTGTGCGCACTTCCACCTGAGAGCCGCTGTTGAAATCCTGGACACCACCCTGCACAAGTGCATCGCCCCACCGCAGATGCTGCAGCCGCTGCAAGCTGAGCCTGAGCAAGCTGGAGCATCGAGCAGCAGATCAGCACAGACACGAGCTAATCTGCTACAACCCTTCAAGATTCACGCACTCATCTCATCACAAACGCATCTTCGGATCAACTTGCAGGGGACAACCCCGAAAGCACAGACATGAAACAAGCTGTCGAGCTCAGAGGAACTTAGGCCGATTCTGGCCGTACAGACTGGTTATCAAGCCTCGTCTCGAAAAGTGGACAAAACATCGAGCCCTCAACTCAGTGAGCCTGCCGTGGAGGGAGCTTCGGCGACATCTGCATCCGAGCCATGGCCCTGTCCGGAAGTGGGAAAAGGGCGATAGACGACAGAGCGAATCAAGGTAAGTCGGCATGCGCTCTCAGCATCCCGCCCATCTTGCTTGTCTCTCCCGCTGAAACCCCTCAAGGGAAGGGAGAACCGCAAGGATTCGTACGAATGAAAATGACCATGGGCCTCGCCGGCGTTCCGGCCTTTCACGTGCAGGACCACCGAGGCTCTGTGGCCTTGCAGGGCTAGATTGGTGAATGCCGCGGCCGCTGCTCAAGGCTCCTTCGAACTGAAGAGTTCTCTGCGCTTTTGGCGAGCGCGAAGGCGCCAGGTGAAACGACTCGTGAGCTGACGTGTTCTCACCGGCCTCTATGCCACTCTATGCACCTTAGCCCAATGTGCTCTATGGCAATAGCGGCGTCTCTTCACCCTGCATAGCAAAGCCAGGCGTCATGCCAGTGATCTGCGGAGGTGTGACACCACCGTCTTGACCGTAGAGAGATCCGTACATGCCTGGTGCAACTCCTGGCTGCTCCAGCATGGGGGTGACATCCCCTCCGGCAAAGCCCGGCGTCATGCCCACCACATCTCCGGGTGTCAATGCACCGGTGGGCAATCCAGGGGTTGTTGCACCTGCGAGGGCACTTATGACATGGCTGAGTGGGGTCCTACTCATCACTCATAGCATGACTTGAACAGAACTCTGCCGTGTCGCACAGCAGTGATTGTAAGAGGATGGTCGGCAAGTGTGGACAGACAGACGACGGCCGAAATGAGAGAATCTTGAATAACTAACCAGACTGGGGTTGCTTCCATTGCCTAAGAACCCCAAAGTGCTCTAAAGCCGGTAAAGAAGGTCCCTCGCAGACATTCAATGCCCGCGCCTGGCTGGAATGGGACCGGTGTCTCGGACTTCACGGGCGGCTGCACGTCTCTGAACTCAATGGGCTTCTTGTCCTTTCGCCAGGTCTTGAAATCGGGTATGGGATCCTGCAGCGCCTTTTTCGCGGTGGAACCCGCTGACGGCGTGTCCCGTTGTCGGACCTTGGCTTTGATTGAAGGGGCTGGTGCGAGCTTGCCGTTCCTCCTGCGAGGCGCATGTCGCAGATCACCCGACACATTACCGGTGAAGGCGGGTGCTCGCGGCATGTTGTAAGATGGCCTGGCGGACTGCATGGCTTGCTGGAAGGCTTGCGGAACAGGGGTCGACAGTCCACTGTGGTGCCCCATGCCACGACTCAAGAAAAATCTGTGCGCAGGCGTTCCTGGTGGAAAGGCCGGAGTGCCGGGGTTTGCTGGAGTGCCGGGGTTTGCAGGCGTCGCCGGCATGGCTGGCGTCCCCGGCATTCCAGGTGTCGGCGGCATTCCAAGCGTCGGCGTAAGAGGATTTCCCGCTTGCTGTTTGGGTGGAGTGGGGGGATGAAAGCCATGCATGCCCGGCGTGGCTCCAGGAACAGTCGGCGTGGCGGGCGCTAACGGATTCGGCGTAAATGGAGCAGCCCTCGCGCCGAAGGCCCCAGCTGGAGTTGGAGGCACTTGCTGGGGAAAGGCTGCAGCAGGCGTCCGAGGAATCGCCCGGGGATCCGGCGGAGTCCGGGGAATCGAATCCGCATTGGGGACAGAGACATTGCCCTTCACATCCTTTGCCCTGTCTCTCTCTTGCCACTGCTTCTTGGTATTCCATGAGGAATACTCGGACTTATCTTCCCACCTTGCCTGCTTCGAGTTGGACGTCTCGTCCCATCCGTCCCACTCACTCTTCACGCGCTTCTTGCTGTGCCAGTCATTGCTCTCCTTCTGCCACCACTTGCTGCCGCCCTGCCACTTGTACCAGTCGTCATTATCTTTGCCTTTGTTGTCCTGCCAGTCCTCCCAGCCCATCGCCTACATTGCGCTTGGAACCGGCATCGTAAGTTTCATTGTGGTTCACAGCCTTATCAGCCTGGAGCTACTGCTTCACTTCCTTGTGTCTCATGACTTGAGACTGATGCCATGTCTGACCAGCCCAACCAGGGTTTTGCAAGATGTAGTGGTAGTAGTGATCTGTAGCTGTTGATGGAAGCGGCTGCAGCGACCGAAGTTCATAAAGAAAACAACACGGCTCTTGCACTCAAGACTCCACAAACTGCATGACAGCTACGACTAAGGCTGCGGCAGAGAGTAAGCTTCTGCCCATCCACGCCTTGATCCACCTCGCTGCTTCTGCGGCCGTGTCCGTGTTCCATTAGCGAAATCAATTGGCCCGGAATTTCACAAAGCTCCATCGCGCCTGGCTCCGCATTGCGTTCCATGGTGGTCAAAGCTACAGAGCCTACCAGCCTTAACGAAAATCTCATGGGTGTCGAGAGGTTGGCTCCTTATGTCTCGGTCTGGGCTTGAAGGCTTGAACCGAGGTAACTAGGGGTGGCAGGGAAGGCAAAAGCCCATAAGGTCAGGGAGCTAGCAGCTGGCACCTTGAGCTTCTGCACTTGTCGTCCCAGCACAAGACCACCACTGCGCAGCCGGCAGAGCTCTGCTTGGGGCATGCTAAGTCTGCTAAGTGCAAATTGCTGCGTCCTGCTGCTCCATGGCCTTGGACATCTGGACAAGAGGTGTCTGATCCTTCGAGACGTCTAGAAACCTGACCGCTAGCTGACAAACTTCTGGGTTGCCCATGGTGCACAGTCCAGCCATCTGCAGCGGCGCTGCAAATCACCAATGCTCGCCTCACTACGCAAGATGCAGCAGATGGTAGCAGAACCCTCGAAGAGCGGTTCCCTTCGGCCGGCCTGGAGCGATGCCTTGACTTGGCTTACGGAGCCTTCGCAGTTCCCTGCCACCATGGCCTGCGCATCGCGCAGGGTCGACCTGAGCGATCCTCCGCGGCCCGTCTCGCGCCTTGACCCAGGCCCAGGTGAAGGCCTCGGAGAGCGGCACAGCTGTTTTTACGGCTCAAAGCTGTCTCCCACCAAGGCACCCCTTGAACGACGCCCTCGATCGGCAGCTCCCCACACCACTGAGCCTGAACGTGAAATGGCATGAGGGCTTCGGAAGAGGTGAAAAGCTTGGGGCCTGGTGGCAGGCGGAGTAGCAGGTCAGTGAGCACTCGATCGCAGGAACCTGCAAGGCGAACATGCGAAGCCATGCGAAGCCATGCGAAGCCCAAGCACGGCAAAGCCCCGCTCTGCCCGCTCTCCGCCTCGATGGATTGAGGGGCCCTGAGGGGAATGCTCGGCAGGACCTGCCGTGCACCGAACGAAGCGCCAAAAAAGCCCCTTCGGCCTCGCTGCGAAGAAACCGAGGAGGAAAACTGCCGCCGGCGTGTCCAGGCGCCGTGCGCGCGCATCGGCCATCTGTGCTCCCAGGGCTATGATGGAGCGAGAAGCTCAAGTTGATCACTTTTCTGAGAGCCTGGTCCATGCCAGCAAAGGCTGCCGGTTGCATCTGCGCCTCCAAAGCCACAAGTCAGGATCCGAGTGGGAGCGCAGGGAACGGAAGCGGACCCACTGGAACATCGCGGGCTGAGGTTTTGATCCTGCGCGATGGAAGATGATGGAAGATGATGGAAGAAGGCTGAAGGAGCCATGGCTTGTCGGTGTGTCCTACGCCCGGCAGCGAGGAGTGGCAGCAGTCAAGGACAACGGTTGCCTTACCTCAGGGAGATGATGTCCCAACGAAAAAATGCGTGTTTTCTTCAACTACCCGAGAGCCCCGAGAGCGGTGCATCCGGCCGGGAGCTTGGACAGAGCCTGGGAGACTTCCGTCAGCGGCACCAACCTGCGTCGAGTCGCGGCCCCAGGGCAGGAGCCACGACGTGGCAAGCCATGCAAGCCGAGAGCTGAACCTGTAGCCACCGGTGCTGTCGCCGCTTCCACTCTTCAGGGCCTCGAACTTGCGAGAAACGCTGACGCTCACCCCCCGAGCAAACCCTTTGTGGGCAGCAGGCAGCGTAGTCAATGGGAACGAGACACGCTTCGAAGCTTCCCACACCTTTCACTGCTTTGCAGCTGGGATCTGCTCCGCTCTCCGCTTATGACCACGGGCCGCGCCATGTGGCAGCAGTGCCCCATAACCTCTCGCATGGACTGGGCTGCGTCATGCCGCACTCAGTTCGTGGAGCAGGACTCGCCTGCAAAGTAGAGGAAAACCTCATCGCCGGGCAGAGTGTCGGCTGCGAGCCACTGTAGGCCTGTGAGCTGAAAGCATGTACATTGGCCATCGGCCGCTTGGTTCAGGAAAAATATGTCCACAGCTTGCCTTCTGCGATCGTGGCAGCAGTCGGCCGCCGCTGCGGAGGCATTGGACAACTGCGAGTGCCATCAACGATGAAGCGCACCTGCAGCGTGTGTGCGCATGCCGGCAACAACAGAGCTTCTCGAAGCGAGTGCTGGCCTGACTCTCTGAGATCTGCAGTGTGTGTCTAAGGAGACTCAGAACCTGTCGCCAATGCCAAGAGCCCCATTCGGTGATGATATGTGACGGCAGCATGCCCGTGCAAACGCAGCAAGTCGAGCCGCTGGCATTCCATGCATCGTTGATGGCTCCCTTGAGTGGCGTGTTCCTCTGCTGCCGTGCAAACACGGATTCCATTGAACGATCCCAGCAGCAGTCGTACCAAGAACCCATTTCTGAGCATGCCGCGACTCGAAATAGCTGCAGCCGATGACCAGCGCTTTTCTGCGACCAGCGTGGGCCCTCAGAGACCAAGGAACAAGACTTCCACCGATGTCATACATGCTGAGCACCCAGTGCTAAGCCGCCCGCGGCAAAGGTAAACAAGAAAGCACCTGCAAACTAGAAGCATGAACACACACACACACACACAGAGAGAGAGATTGCTGCTACTTTGCTTGGACAAATCATCTACCGACCAGGCACGGGTTGCAGGCTGTCGCAGCGAGACCAAAGCCGATGGTGACAAGTCGCATGAAGCAAACACAAGCGTCACAAGAGCAGACGGCGCACCATGCCACGCAATGCTGCCGGCACCGACCGCACCTGAGCGCACTCTCAGATGGACACCTGCCTTTGAACCCTTGACTGCAAAGGCCTTGGATGGCTCCAACGGCTTCAGCTCTGCCTCGCAAACTGGTCCATGGCCTGTTTCATGATGCAACCTTGCGCAGCCCTGCCTCATCGCGGCCAGGAGCCAAGCGCATCACCTGGCCAAGAACTACATCACAGCCTGCCTCACTCGAAGCCCGGACTGAAATTACACCACCCGCCCTGCATGCATGAACGGAGGCGAGGGGAGTCCAGCGGCAACAAGAGTCGAAGACTCCGGCATTGGAAAAAACAATGTTGGCATTCCGTTTGACATCAACAAGAACCCCTACAGTAAAGTTTTGGGGAAGCAATGCTTGGCTGATCTTGGTTCTAAGACGCACTCGTCTATTTTTCCAGAAGACGATGAATGGACGCCTGGTAATCTTCCGCGCGGAGGTGTACGCGCGCCCAGCGCATTTGGCGACACAACTCTAGTGCCTGCTGCCTGCCCGACATAGCCAAGCACGCTCTAACAGCGCTCAGGTACAGAAACGACGTGGGTGAGAAGCGCTGGGCACCCAGGTAGTCCAAAAATCGCAGGCTTTGTCGCCACAAATCAGCATCTGCGAGAGCATTGCCCAGAGCAGCGGAAGTGAAACTCATTTTCTCTGCAACTTCTGTCTCCTGCCAGCCTTTGCCACATGCCTTTTCGACGGTAGGGCTACCCTCATCCAACTGTCCATCAAGCAGTTGCAAAGCTTCGGGCCAGGACGATGCTGCAGCAGTTGCACTGACAACAGTGCCCCAACCGAAAATGTTCGAGAACGGTCGGGAGGCATGCAGCTCGTCTAGGGAAGCTAAAGACATCTCCCAGTGCTGAGCTGCACATGTACTGATGACGAGATTGAAACACATCAGGTCCATCTGAATTCTTCGTTCACGGCTTCGATGTAGCAGCCACAGAGCCTGCTGCCACTCATGGGCTTTTCTGCAGGCGCTCAATGCGGCAATGCAGGAGACTTCATCGACCTCCGATGCTTCAAAAGCGCAGAGGGCACAGGCCCATGCACCGGCATCACCGCATGCGTTGATCAGGGAGTTCGTAAAAGTCTGCACCGGGCCTAGTTGATCAGAGACTTCTCCATGCAGGAGTAGCGCCATCGGCCAGCTTTCTGCACTGCGGAAAGCACCGATGGCTGTGTTGTATGTGCCGCAGTTCAATACCAAGCGTCTTGTTTCAGCATCCGCGCAGAGTCCTACAGCTTGACGCCATGCTCCAGAGTCTCCGCACGAAGACAATGCCGAACTGTAACTAATTGAATCCACTCTCACGTAGCCCGCAAGAGCCTCGCGGACTAGCTGAAGAGCCCCTTGCCACTCGCCGCCCTCACCCAGCGCGTTGATCGCTACGTTGAAAGCAAATATGCTTGGTCGCATGGTCTCTTTTCCGATGTCGGTAAACAAGGAAAGTGCGTGCTGCCACTGACCAGAACGGCCACAGACACAGATGGCGGCGCAGTGCGCCACCACGCTGAGCTCCTCCATGGCTTGCAGAAGACTCAGTGCAGTTTCCCACTGCCCATCTACCTCACACGCAGAGATGACGGACGAGTAGGTGATGGCGTTTGCTCGCATTTCTTGCCGGACTGCTTCCTCTAGCAGAGTTGTGGCCAGCTCCCATCGACCCTCCGTCTTGCATGCAGCGATGGCAGAGTTGTAAGAGACGAGGGTTGGCTGGACGGAAGCGCGAGCTATCTGGCGAAGCATGTGCAGGGCTGTGACCCAGCTCTCACTGCATGCGCTGATAGCTGCATTGAAGGTGACAGCATCGGGCTGCACATGACAAGAGCAGAGTTCTTCCAGCAAACACAGAGCTTGCTGCCAGTGGCCCGATTTGTCACACGCGCTGACTGCAGTGTTGTACGTTACGATGTCACTCCGAATCTTGCGGCGCTGCGCATACCTGAGAATGCACAGCACATGCTGCCATTGGCCAGCCTTTTCGCAAGCAGACATCGATGCGTTGTACGTAATAGTGTTCGTGGCAAAGTCTTCATCTTCAGCATCATGCAACAATGACAGGGCCATCGCCCAACAATAGCAGTGCCCAAGGGCATTGATGCCTGAATTGTATGTGATGATGTCCCAGGGTATGGAATTCCATAGCATCTCTTGCATGAAGCTGAGGACTAGCTGCCATCGGGCAGATGTTCGAGTTGCAGAAATGACGGTGTTGTATGTCACAACAGTGAGTTGTAGATGTTGAAGTTTGGCATCCTCCAGTAAGGAAGGGATAGGCAACCACTGTGCTGCCTTCTCACAAGCGCTGATGACTGTATTGTAGGTGATGGTGTTTGGTTGCACACTCCTCAATTTCGCATCCTGCAGAAGGGATATGGCCCTTTGCCACGCACCTCTTCTCCTGCATTCCGTGATGGCCTGGTTGATGTCCAGGATTCTTGGCGTGGCCCGAGCATCGATTCGGGTTGCGGCTGGAAGGCCTGGAAACTGAAGAGGGACAAGTGCGAAGATGTCCGAGTTAAACATGTCGGAGCATGCATCTGCACTGGAGGCAATGAAGAATTCTGAATTCCGAGGTCATTTTGGGCAAGAAACTGCGAAAACGTGAAGAGGAGCCGTCGAAGAGGCCTCCACGACCAGGTTGCCAGGCATGCGAAACTTACGCCGCTTTGGGCTCCCGGCCTCTGAGACACGCTCGAGCTCCTGCAACAGCCTCACACAGGGCGGCTTTCGCTTCGCTCTATGCGCCGGGCTCTAACTTCCTCAACTTCCTCTTCTCTTTAGGCTTTGGGCCGGCCTGGTCTCGCAACTTGTGCTCCGATTTTTCAGATCTTCGATCTGGGCCTTCTCGACTGGGGAATCCCAGATGTCAGTTGCTCCCACTCCACCCGCAGCCCGTCTGCCTGCAGATCTTGTCGGCATTTGCTCACCTGAAACCACACACACAGCAAGACACCAGACGCCGACGGCTGACGAGAACATGACAAGTCGGCCTGCTCCGCCAGCCTGCCACGTCAAGGTTTCGGGGAAACCGCACTTAGGTAGTAACATCGCCGAGGACCGAAATTCTCACATGTTCAGAGGGCAACGGCAGAAGGCAAACAACACAAGCGGCAACTCCAGTTGAGTGGCTGTGTACAGGTATCCCGCTCAAACTGGCTGGTTCCCCTTTCATCGATTTGGATGGCGTGGTCCTGGTCCTCTTCATGCTGTGGCCACGGCGTCGTCGTTCCCAAATCCGAGGAAAAAAGGCTCCACCCGCCCACAAGTGCCGACCTCCACCTCCACTACCCGAGGCGACAAGAAACAGACACAGATCAAAGGGATCTGCCTTAAGCCGACTTGCTGCAAGCTGGGTTAAGAATAATATCTCATGTGTATATATATATATATGGTACCCCCCCCCCCCATGGATCCACCGTTTTCGTGTGTTGGGTGCC